GAACTACTTTCTCTATCGTAGGGTTAATCGCACTTTATAAGAACAATGTTTCAGATCCTGTACAACTGTGCTAACCTTTGAACTACTTTCTCTATCGTCGATTGTGCCCGATCTGATTACTGCCTGAAGCACAATATGGTCAACCTTAGACCACTCATGTTGACAGACTTTCCACATATCCTCTGCTGTCGATGGCGTCGGCTTTCACGGCTACATTTAAGTACACCAAAAGTATGTTGAAGCTGTATTGGGGACCCGACAGGTATGCGATCCAATGGGATGCTTGTGATTCCTGTTTCGTTGGACATCTTTCTCATTAAAACAGCTGTTAATTTCGATATGTGGCTGGAAGCTTGTGAGACTTGGCCAACTACAAATCCTTGTTTATCACCTGATTAACAGTACCATGAGAAATGCCCAGCTTCATTGCAATGTTTTTTTGTTATTTTGTTTAATATATATATATAAGGGGTTCTCTTTCGTAGCCACTTTGCATTTGAGGACAGTGCCCCAGATTGGGTTGGGATATGTTGTCAGGATTCGTTGCTGTTTTAAACTCTTTTCCTTGTGAGATTTTCCTACTTCTGTGAAGAACACTGAAGATTCCTTCTTCGAAATGTAGTACCTAAACTGTTTAGTCATTATAGCTTTATGAACGTTTCTCAGTACAGAAAAGTGCTGTAACATAAGAAAACCGTGGCAGCATTATACTGTCGAATGGTGGAGGTATTCGTCGTGAACCAGTCATATGGGTGCTAAACATATCTCCTGTGGTCATATGGCACTGTATTAGCAGATATATATCGTTTTATATATAAAGTATGATTAACCAGTTTCTTGTATAACATCAAACTTATCTAAGAAAATCACGGAGTGTTCTTCAAGGTATACTGATTTTACTCTGTTTACCTTGGATAAGTTTGTTTGTTCGTAATTAAGCACAAAGCTACACAATGGGCTACCTGTGCTCTGCCCACCACGGGTATCGAAACCCGGATTCTAGCGTTGTAAGTCCGCAGACGTGCCGCTGTGCCACTGGGTGGCCCTTGGATAAGAAAGAAGGAAGTCGCTTCTGAAAAAAAAAATCACAAAACAATACCATGACGTAATTTAAAGAAAACGCTTTGATCGCACGTAAAGATGGCTAATAATAACGTCCGCGTTTGTTCATTAATTTAGCGATTCATGGGTATGTTTGTTTTACATATATTTTATCCTGAGTGCAACCATTTTAAAGCTTTTAGTTTCCTTTGTCGTTCTAACTACCTTAAAGGTTCGTGCATGGAAAAGTACTTCATATACCTGCCTGTTTCGATGTAACTTGTATGATTAGATATTTGGACGCACGTACAGCCTAAGGTGACACGCTTACCGAAGGGTTTGCCAAGATTATTATGGGATGTAAAACAGGATCGGTGGGTATAACTCGTCATGTTGTCTGGAAAACAGCTAGCACTGTTGTACTTCCACTGTCTGCCCACTACAACCCACAGACATGCTTTGGGCAGAATCACAATAACAGAAACAAAAGCATCAGTTTTCTTCCTTTGAATTATTCGGTGGAACTTAGTTTACATTTAGAACTGTGAATGTGGGGTGGGGGTGGACATAAGTGATAAGGGAATGGGCGATAAGGTGTTCCAATCCACATACTTAAATATAGCACTTGAAAGGCTTAAGGAATAAGGGAATATTTGGTCAACAAAATCTAGATCGTACCATCAGAGGATGTGTTCGAATAGATCAAGGTTGGTTCTTTAAGTGATACTTTATTTATCTATTTCATATAATTAACTCGCGTAATACTTGGAATAGAAATGTGACTTCTGGATCATATATTGAATCTTGTGCCTCCGGGTAATTACATACAAATAGTAACTGGATCATATACTGAATATTTGTGCCTCCGGGTAATTACATGCAAATAGTAACTGGATCGTATATTGAATCTTGTGCCTCCGGGTAATTACATGCAAATAGTAACTGTATCATATACTGAATCTTATGCCTCCGAGTAATTACATGCAAATAGTAACTGGATCATATACTGAATATTTGTGCCTCCGGGTAATTACATGCAAATAGTAACTGGATCATATATTGAATCTTTGTGCCTCCGGGTAATTACATGCAAATAGTAACTGGATCATATACTGAATCTTTTGTGCCTCCGGGTAATTACATACAAATAGTAACTGGATCATATATTGAATCTTTGTGCCTCCGGGTAATTACATGCAAATAGTAACTGCTTCTATGAAACAATCATTTTCTAAAATTTCCTTTAATCATACCAGAAAAATCATACTCGTGTTCCTTCTCTAGGGACAACAAGATACTGCAACCGAACGGACAACATTACTGAAATTTGAGTAATTTTGATGCCAAATACACGAATCTTTTTAACGACGCTTTGTCAAAGTTGCGAAACATAACTGGATAGGTAGAATTTTACGTACATTATTGTACAATGATAAAATAATAACTAAACACAAAATTAAAGTACCATTTAGCAACAGTATATCTCCTTCATCATAGACACTAATCACGATGGTATACGTTTTATATAATCCGACTACAAACATTCTTATTTTCTTATGAAGCAAGTATGCTAAATGTTTAGTGATCAGTGTTATAACCAAACCAGCCTCGAATCTATTCTTAAATATCATGAAATAAAAATGTGAATAACAGTATGTGAAATACTGTACGATAACGTGTTCTATTTTCTCAGTTTAGTGTATAATAAGCTTGCTTATTCACATTCTTGTCGAGTGAGAAGCCAGGCTTTGTGTCATGCTACTGCAGACAGTGGGAGTTCTAAGCCGCCTGACCTTGGTATTTTACCTGTTTAATACACATATAGCAGCCACTGTACAGACTTCCCGCCACCTCGTACACAGCTGTAAACACATGGACCCCGACCTGTTGGCAGGTGACCCGACTACATCCGGTGGCGTCACCTGTGGGGATTTTACATATCAAAATACCAGCTAACAAACCAGCTCTCTCTCTCTCCCTGTCGCTATGAGATTAAAAAAAATACCTCTCTCTCTCTTGTATAAACAAAATTATACAGGGTTGTACAGTTTTTATTATGATCTTTTTGACGTCACATGTCGGGGATCGTTAAAAATTTAGCGAAGACGTTTTTTTTAATTATTATTTTCAGTATATTTACGTTAAACACAATAAAAATTGTGAACTAGACGATAACTTGGTAGAAATCAGAAATAATGAATACAATAACTTGATAAAAATGTTTATATGTATCTGTGTTCAAAATGTTTAACGTAAACAGTACTACCCCCCCCCCAAAAAAAATGAAGAAAATATGAGCGTAACAAACTACAAACAATGTAAAATATATGTTTAAACAATCTAAGTTATGTAAATATCAAAAGTGGCCATTAACAAATGGCTAAGATAAAAATATAATCTCACCACCGGCTTACAATGTTGTCTCTTTAAGATATCCACCATTGCTTCTAATAACCCTACAATCCGAGGGTTTTTACCATTTTGTATCAAGACTTCTTGAACCTATGTGTTTTTCTGACATCGTGATTGCTTCTAATAAACTGTTTAAATTAAATGATATCTCTTACCATACTGGACAGCTAGAGAAATGTAACATTTTCATTCACTCTGTTTCTTACATTTAGAAACAGTACTATAGCAATTTTGGATTGTTCTCTAAACACAATTCAGGCCCACACAGCAGTTTTAATAATATTGTTTAACGCCACCCAAGCCCTTGGAAAGTATATATATATGTGTGTGTGTGTGTATACCCACAACATCGTGCTTTGTAAGCTTCAGGGTGTATGTTTTCAGTTAGTAATATCATGCCAAATAGAATTGCAGATTCTTTAAAAAGTCAGGGAATGTGTCATTAGTACGTTGCTGCTCCCAATTTAGGGTTAACCTCGGTGAGCCTTTTAAATACAAAATATCACACCTAAGTACAACCAATCTCTTCGTAATTTGTGTGTGGGATTCAGTGAACTCTCTCTCTCTCTCTAAGTGGTCCCCTGGTAGATTAGTGGCAAGCTTGGGGACTTATAACGTTAGAATTCGGAGTTCTATCCCCGCAGCTCAGACACTCAATAGAGCAACTTTGCGTTGAAATAAATAAATAGTATCTTTAAGTTGTCCTCTGGTGGTGACGTTAAAAAATCTGGTTTCGATACCCGTTGTGGGCAAAGCACAGATAACTTATTACATAGCTTCATGCATAACAACAAATAATCTCCTGGCTTAGCGACATATAACATTAGAATTCGGGGGTTCTATCCGTGCAACTGACGCAACGCAGATAGCCAATTATGCAGCTTTGTACTAAAACAAACAAATTTTGTACATGTCTCATGTTAAAAAGTCAAGCTATTAAACATATTTTAAGAAACGAATAGAACTTTGTGATAACCTAACTACTGAAGCTTACTTTATATATTAAGTTTTTATATTTATAATAGGCAATGGCTGATTCAGTATTGAAATATTTATAGTGATACTCTAATATACAGTCAAAATGGGGCTAACAAAAAAAACAATGAAAAACCAAACAGTTTCCTCGCTGGGGAACAAATATTTTGGGCAAGAAAGCTAGATTATATACAGGGTGAGACAACAGCTACTATACAGTTCGTACTGTACGTTTGGCACAGTTAACATTGTACTGTTGGCACTAAAGAAAATATTACGAATAAACTGAAACCAGTTTTATCATAGTTTGTTTCAGAGTACTAGTAACAGTTAGAACTTAGACTATGTTCCAAATTAAAGAACTATACAGTCACATACAGCGGTATGACAGCATCAAGTTTACGGACTTGCAGCGCTAAAATCCGCGGTGGACATAGCAGATAGCCTAATGTACCTTTGCTCTAAAAGAAACTACATCGCCCGCTGTGTACAGTTAGCCATCATAACGAGTATATTTATGTGTTTTAACAAGTTTGAATTTAGCGCATTTCTCTTTTCTTTTTTTCTTGTAGGTGTTTCCGAGGAAGAAATACTTAAGTGTAAAGCTCAGAACAGCAAGTGGACCAGAACTATTGTTATATAGAAATCCAACATAGCTTTTGGACTTGCAAAACAGGATCTATATAAACTAAACTTGATCGCGTGGTGTATATCCAAATCCACCTTCACGCGATTTGTGAGTTTCTGGAAAGATCTTTGCTTATTGTGAACTAAAACTTCGTTTATTTTTTTTTATTTTCTTTGTTTTTACATAATACATAATTGTATAGTTATACCATCAGTCACGTGATACAGAAAATTCCAAACCACGATGATGAAGAACTTCAAAAATTTTCATCGCTGATGTGTTGTGTAATGGCGTTGGAAGACCACGTGTAGTGGATGCATATATAGAGTAAAAAAAAAAGGAATGAAACGCTCTGCTGAAGCTGTATCTTGATCGGATTGCATCTTGAGATCATCATCCGACGAACGATCCTGCATGTGATTCAGAATTTTGTGGATGAACCTTCCGTTTTGGATAATGGTTATTTTTCGTCACATTTGCAGGTTTAGTTGGTTGTTGTTGAAATTAAGATTGTTTGTTATCTACCAGACAGAAGGCGGGTAGATAAATTAAGTATTTATGTTATTTGTTTTAGTTGTGACTAGTAATTACTGTTTACGTGATGAAAACAGAATAATAATGCTTAATCGTTGTAAAACAATAATTGTTGGTCATCTACTTGTAACACAACATTAGCCAATTAACCACGATTTTATAGGACGTTTTTATATTTGTTTTTTCGTTCTGCTGACATTACTGTACAACTGACGAGAAATGGAATCAGTTTCATGTTGCTAAGTGTGAAAAAAAACAAAAACAAAAAAACTGGAAGTGTTAACAATGCATCAAAAATGCCTGGATACATACTCTTTTAGAATATGTCGGTTCCATATTACTAGATTTTGAATGATTTTGCTTACATGAAGATTTAAAAGTAGTGTTGGGAAATGTATTAAGTGTTTTTTAAAGGTTTGCTTTTTTCTTGTTTCACATATTTGTAAGAATGTCTATTACAATATGTTACTAAGCTTATATATATATGGTAATTTCTAATTAAAAAAAACACAACATAATTTATGTGGTATTTCTCCTGCCACAAGATGGCGCTGAATGTTAATTATTCGAAACAACTGTGAATACTTGAATATTAAATATGAATTTACCACACGGTATATTTATATATATATATGGTAACTTTTAATTAGAAGAAACAAACATGATTTGCGTAGTGTTTCTCCTGCCACAAGATGGCGCTGAATGTTATTCATTTCAAACCACCGTGAATAACTGAATTTTAAATAATAAATGTGAGCCTTAAATAATAGTGTACTATCTCTTCTTTTTTTTCTTTTCGTAAACTCTCTTACTTAAGCAAAGTAAATATTGTGTGAAGTATGGGTATACCTGGCCAAGTGAGACGGTAGAAGGGAGGGGGGGGGGGTGAGTATGAGTCACCAATAAAGAATGGAATAACACCTGTTCGTGATACCAAAATAGTAATGTAAAAAAAAAAACTGGCGAACCACATAATCCAGCTGTTCTAACAAAAAAAAACAAAAAGAAACAGGTGTTTCCTGTCGTTAAAAAAATGAGAAAATGCGGAAACAACATAATGTTAATTGTTATAATAATTTTAGTTTTAAACAGCACTTACTGGGCAAATTTGTTTAATACTGGCACGGGGATGGCTTAATGGGTAGCGTGCTTAGACTGTGCATTCTAAGATTTATAGTTCGCGCCAGAAAAAATTGCCTAGGGCTGGGGTGCGCTATAATAGTAACGGTCAAATCCCTGGTGGATGTTGTTTACCACCAGCATTTATTCTAGCCTATCAATTCAAAATTGTTTGAAGTTAAGCACAAAGCAACACAATGGGCTATCTGTGCTCTGCCCATCACGGGTATCGAAACCCGGATTCTAGCGTTGTAAGTCCGCAGGCATACCGCTGTGCCACTGACGGTTATGTGTAACTTTGTGCGAAAACTGTAAAAAAAAAACTTCAAAACTTCTTAGGGCGTAGTACCTCAGCGTTACGTCTAAAATTGTGTTTCATTACCCGTGTGGGCATAGCACCGTTAGCCTTTTGTGTAGCTTTATGCTTCACTACAAACAAACAAAGAATCGTCAAAAAAGTTAGAATAACCTGAGACACAAAATGTTTTTGACTGGCGTAGGGTTAAGATCTCATAACGGATGGTGAGGTTTGATTGTTTTTGAATTTCGCACAAAGCTACACGAGTGCTATCTGCGCTAGCCGTCCCTAATTTAGCAGTGTAAAACTAGAGTGAAGGCAGCTAGTCATCACCATCCACCTCCAACTCTTGGGCTACTCTTTTACCAACGAATAGTAGGATTGACCGTTGTATTATAACGCCCCCACGACTGAAAGGGCGAGCATGTTTGTTGGGACGGAGACTCGAACCTGCGACCCTCAGATTGCGAGTCGAGCGCCCTAACCACCTGGCCATGTTAGGCTCACGGGTGGTGAGCTTCGTGTGAATGGGTTAAAAGGTTCTGCTTCGTCTACTGATATAAGTGAAGTATTAAAGTATGTGTTTTGTCTTCTCTGTTTTTTCTCAAACTTTTTTATTCTCATTTAACGACTTACGTAACAAGACATGATCAAATATTAAGTCAATTTAGTATAATTTAGTTGGAAATTAGAAATGGATATGCGCGAAAATCTTGCAACAAACAGTTTCCTTACTCTCGTACGTATTGTGACCTGAAACAAATACATACAACTCGCATACATAAAAATCAACAAGAAAACATAATTATTCAATTATTTAAACTAAAATTACTTGTTATGACCTAGTGCGCAATCTAACTGAATAAAAACAACAACAAGAAAACATTTTAACGTTGTTTTGTACAGTAAACGACATATAAAAGTGAAAAGTTTTAAGTGTCTAATGGAAGCAGAATAACGCCACTTTTGTACATGCTGTACTGTTATGTTTTGTCGAAATTCCCTTTGTTGCTTGCCTTGGACTGTCCGTATACTCTTACAAGGTTGTCTTCACTTTTTTCTACCCTAGATCTTTTCTCCTTGCGGTGTTTTTTCGGATGTTAAAAAAATTAATTGCAAAAAACAAAACAAATCAGTAACCAAACTTCTAAAAAATCTGAATTAGTAACTTAATTTCCTTCCTTATTTATCACGGTTTAACCCCCTTCCCTTCCCCCTCCCATGGAAATTTGTATCTTTAAAATTCTTGCGTAATTATCAAAGAAATTATTAAGTTCCTAGAAATATTATGAACGTTCCACAGCAATGAGAGCGGCTCTGACGTAATTAATGCATCGATAGTTTTAACACGCTATGAAAAGGAATGTTGTGGGGGGGGGGGTAGATTAAAAAATGAAAGGCTTTTTTGACACGTGTGAGGAATTTATGTAAAAGTCTTACATTAACTCTGAGTGTTCTAGAATTGGGTAAGATCCGTTTTCGTCACATTCAGGACTTTGCTACACTCGAATTGAAGCAGGTGACCGGAAGTGCCCACCTTTAAACATATCAGTCTGTTCTTACCCATGCCGATCTAACGACCACTTGGATCAGGTAGAAAAGCACAGGTACAGGTCAATATATTATAATTTCACACTGTGTGTGTGTGTGTGTGGAGAAGGAGGTGGAGTCTAATTTAACACGACAGTGAGTTAACATGGCAACTCAGTGGGAAGTACGCGTAACTTAGAAACGTGAAGGGCTGGAATGGAAAAAAACAACAAAAACCAAGCATGTACAGAATAAGTTGATAGTCACAATAGATAAGATTTAACAACTAGTGTCCTTGAATTCAATACGTAAAAAATGTTCTATATACTGAAAGTGCTTAACGGTATCATGAGTATAACAACTAAAAATCTGGCAGAGGTAAAATACGCGTACGAAAGGTGTTACAGTTCTCCAATGTACGGTGTTGTCTGTCAGAACAAGACCAAGGTTTTACACAAACACAGGTTTCAAATACTAAAAAAATATTCTTGTGTGTTATTAAAGGTTAGAAAAATAAAACGTGAAATTATGTTGAAGATCTTTAACGGCACTCATATTTCAAGACACATTTTTTAAAAGTATTTTTACTTTCAGGTGTAAATTATATCTAAAAATTTAATAACACTTATAATTGTATTTCATACGTCGAAGTTTTAAATGAAAACTCCCAACAATTAATATATAAGGCCGTAGTGTTACAAACCCTATCGTGTGAAAGACTAGAGGGAAGGCAGCTAGTCATCATCACCCACCAACGAATAGTGGGATTGACCGTGACATTATAACGCCTCCAGTGCTAAAAGGGGCGAGCATGTTTGGTGGGACGGAGATTCGAACCCGCAGATTGCAAATTAGTATGTCGTTTAGGACTTCGAATTCTAGGAAATCCTGAAACATGGTTCGATAATCTTTCGCTAGGCTTAATAAATTGAGATAACAAAGCAATAACGTGCCAATTTTACGTGACGTGATGATTGTATTAAACAGCTAAAATACTACAATTGTCAAATATTATTTACTTTTTAAAGAAATAACTTTTAAAATCCATGAGTAAGATGACGATGCTAGAAAAGAATAGTTTAGAACTATAATTTTTTAAAGTTAATAAAGTTACTTTGATATTTTAAATTTTCTATAGTTTTTTCTTATAATTAAAAGTGAAAAATGAGTAGATAGAAAGTGTTAATAAGAGTTTTAATTAACTGCTTATAAGTCGTACAAGATTACAGCTAGGGTTAAGGTGCAGGGTGACAACAGAGTTTAACTATATTACGACATAAAAGACTTTGGAATAGGCGTAATGATATATTTTTATCAGTTTGTAATCCCACTATTCAGTGGTTCGAAACAGTTTTCATGATTGTTTGTTTGTAAGCACAAAGCTACACAATGGGCTACCAGCACTCTGCCCACCACGGGTATCGAAACCCGAATTATAGCGTTGTAAGTCCGCAGACATACCGCTGTGCCAATGGGAGGCAGTTTTCATGAACAGAAAAATTGAGGGGCGGGGCGCAACAAAAAGAAATCAATCGATGCATAAATGAAACCTATTAGACCTTTGTCTTTTGGATAAATACAACTTAACTAATCCCAAATAATCGATAATCCTTTTACTGCCCCCCCAGAGCCACAG